GAGTGAGAATTAGTCAGCCACTTCTTCACTTTCAGATCAATCGCTGATGTTATCTACCATACACTGTTCTACGAGCGCAGATGATTCTAGAAAGTTAGGCGGTATTTTATTCTAATAAATTCACGATTGGAAATAGCCCATTGCAGTACAGTGCCCAACGATAAAAAAACTCAGCATATGATACTCTTCCCTATAAACAGAAACTAATCACGTGCTTGCCAAACACTGTCTAGTGTGAATGTAACTGGATTATTACGCCAACTTCAGGTTAAAATAGAAAATATTTATCTCTTCAAAATACTAATAAAGAAACATGAAAACGTCTTTAAAAGCTGGCTTTGCCCAAATTTTTTCTCTTGCTGCCCAAAGAATCTGAGTTGCCCAAAATTTCGGGGGGGCTGCAGCCCCCCTCGCCCCCCCCGGCCCGCACACCTATGATTACATCAGTAACAAGAAGACGCCCGAAGGCGCTTACGCGGGATGTGTGGGTTTAAGAAAGAATTACGGGTATGTTGGATGGAAATGGAAGTTGAGTAGTGTATGCAACAAATGTGTGCAGGAGAGACGGAGATGTTCTGTTAAGGACTAATACACTAGAAGATGAGTTACACACAAGGGTTCCTTAATTTTTTGCTACTCAAAACAAAACTTACATCAATATTACCACCATATATGTTAGGAGTATGGGGTAGTTCACTAAAATTTGCATTCCTTTACTAATGTCCTCAAAAAATGCACTTCCACATTTAACAATAGCATGTAATGTATCATACTTCCAATAACTACAGGGCTGCAAGGAAGTGCTCTACGGAAAATTTCAGAGAGCCCTTTGGGCTCCACAAGCATTTTTAGCTGGGGTACCCGAGCCTCTAAGTTGGTCACCCAAATTAATAAATCAATGAGCTGTTAGTTAATTATTAAACATTAAACAAATTATTTTCTTAACAAGTCAAGCAGAATTTTGTGAATATTTTTTTCATGAAAAATCACATCCGTTTGACCTCCTGAGCGTGCGAAAAAACAAAACCCGCATGTTGTCATATGAAAGTAAGTTTTCGCGCCATATGAGAAACATGGACAACGCCGCCGAACATTTCATGTTTTTTAAATAGAAAAATAAATTTGAGGTCAAAAGTAAGGGCACTATTCTTTTTACTAATCATTTTGATTTAGGTCAGGAGCTCCTGTTTAGGTTGAAAAGAAAATTCGCTTGTTAAGATTGACTGAGATCCCATGGAGCTTTCCAGGAAAACTGTTATGATTTCAACGAAACCGCGGCGCCCCCCGGGGGGTTACTTGCGTTAATTTTTGCTGGGTATGTGACACTGGCCTCTCAGAACCCCTACCCCATTATAGTCTTTTCTGTGGCCAATATTGTAGACCCCATGTTAGTCACTCTTGGGGAAATATGTAATTTTTGCGATCCCAAGTTAGTCACTTTCTATTTATGTATCTACCTTATCAATCCTTTAAATAGGTCATCAAGAAATGAATTGACCTATTTTTTTAATAAATTGAACAGTGAAGAACACTTTACTTTTCACCTACAGTACAAATATCCTGATAGGTTTGCTAACCGTAAATATGAACAGCTCTCTTACCCCAAAAATCCGAAAATGTGCGACCCCATTCTAGTAACTCTTTTGAAAATGCAACCCCATTAATGTTCAATCTAGTCGTGAAAATGCGACCCCAAAGGAAGTGCCCCCCCCCCCCACCGGGGGCCGCCCCAAATCTATTACCTCTTTTGAATAGATCATCTTGTTGTAAAGTCGTCTTTTAAGCGCAAAACAGAAGTATTTTCTTTCTATATTACCGGTGAAATGTTCAGGACAAATGTCGATTCGGTTAGCTTTTGCGTATTTATTTTTAGTACGTGATACGTATGCCTTGTCACGACACCAAAGACAATGCGGGATTTTATAGATTTATACCCCCTTTATACCCGATTCTAGAACAATCACAATTATAATAGTCGTCTCTTTTCTTTTTTATGCATCGTATTTTACTGGAATAACAATCTTAGTTATGTTTTATCCTCGCAGACACAGCAGTCAAAAAAGGTAAAAATATTTAAAGAACATAGAAGACCGACTCCCTTGTTTATTCAGCGATTTTTCAAAATACAAAACTATTGTTTTGCGTCGCCGACCGTACTTCACGCCTGTCAGAGCAAAAGTAACAACTTGTTTTGAAAAACTAACTAATGAACAATCCTAATTTGAAGAAAAAATTTCAATGTTACTATGAATAGCCTGCGTTGCAGCCGGCCCACGTACTCGTCTAAACCATTTGTATAGTCCGTCTGCGAATTAGTGCACAAAAGCTCGTTCCAATATCCTGCAGAGTCGCAAGGACATATGTGAGCGTTTCTGATAGGCGGGTTTCTTACGGGTTTCTTACAAGCCGCACGATTGGCCTAAGTTTTACGTGTGCGTGACGGTTGGGCGCAGTGACTTGTCAATTAAAATTCACGGAAGGGAGTTGGCAAGGATCGTTTACAGTAATCGAAAGATCAGTTCGAACTTTAGAGCCGTCTTCTGAGCAAAAAAACGCTTTGAGATAATTCCTTCAAGGCCAAAATTTGCTAGTAAATTTGCCGGCTGGTTTCCCAGCGACTTCCAATCGCTGCAGCTGTACTATTGCGTATTCTGTAATCTAGCCGACAGTTCTAGAGTCAAAACAAATGAAGAAATCATCACGTTATTCACGATAAAAAAAAAAAAAACTACACACATGTAGCTATTCAAGTCCAAGCGTTTCGTTGAAAACCAAAGAAACTTAGGTTATTTAGCCGCAATAAAGAAGCTTAAGGCTTAGTCAGAGGTAAAAGAAAATCATTTATGCATCTGTGATCAAATCCTCTTAGAAAACATTTGCCAAAAAATAAACTACAGGAACTAATTACTCAATATGTATGAAACAGACCAGCTTCACAACCTCCAAATGTAGCTAAAGGTGAGACTCAAAGAGGCAAAAAAAAATTGCTCAGTCAAATGGTAGAATACTCCATGCACTGTATAAATTGCGCAAAAAGAGAGCAAGAAAAGCATCTGTTGTTCAAGCTACTCTAGGGGTCTCTAAAGTCACGTTTCACACTATCACGAGCTCAATCTCTCTGGTCACGAGCTATGAGTCATGTTTGGCCTGTCAACGCTTAATTCAAATCGGACTAATCACAAACTGCGAAAGAAAATAGCCAATCAATAACGCCGACATATATCCATGCTACTCTACGGGATTCGAACACGATATTGTGCACTAATTCGCAGACTCTCTATACAGAAGGTTTAGAGTGTCTGGGACGCAGGCTAACTATGAAAAGCTGTTACTATCGAAAACTGTGCAGCTTGTCACGTTCATAGTCAAGGATTATGTTACATGTGAATTCACGTGAAACGACCTTTGAACATCAACGCGTGCCCGCTGCCCGATTTAACAACATTTTCCTAAAGCTTTTTGATAGACATGCTACTTATTGCTACTTACAGAGTCGACCTCAAGAGTTTCTTAGCGAGAGGAGCGTTCTTTTTAGGCCGCGAAGCCACCGAGAGAGCTACGATTTCGCAAGTAATAAATTCTAGACATTCTTAGCTTTTTGACTGTAACTCAACAGAAACAAGAAACCAACACCAGCAAGTCGCTCGGCTGGGCCACCTAGACAATATTTTCAGTCGTCCGAGGCCAAGTCTTGCGCCGTATTAAGAGCTTGAGTCTTCGTCCTCCTCTACACAGTGAGCTTACTTTTCCCTCCTTTGCTGACGCAGTATGTTTTATCGGCTTGTGCAATCCAGCCTGACTTGCACGTGCTTCGACGTTGGGGCCAATAAAAATCCACACAATTTCTCGGGACGGGCACGGGAGACGGGAAAGTTAAAAAAACAAGGCAGTTTTTGACTCCCAAGACGACGAAAGGAATGCGCTACCGAATTTTAGACGCTGGCTGACTACGTCATCCCGCGTAATAATAGGACGAAAAACTACAAACCTGTTTACAGTAAGCAAAACAATAAGAATATATACACCTCCAGCATAAAAATCTAAAATATCGATATGTAACAATTAAAATTCATTCAACCATAAGCTAACTTAAAAAGGAACGTCTTCAGATTGCTCTTAAAAGTATGCAAGTTTGGAATATCGCGAAGCTCACGCGGAAGAGCATTCCATAACTTGGGCGCAGCCACCTGGAAGGACCTATCGCCTAGTGCGACCTTAGTTCTAAATGTTGACGATGCTAGGCAAAATCCCTCCTGACGATCTAAGGTTATATACGCCTTGCGATTTCAAAGAAACTAAGTTCTGAATGTATGTTGGGGCTATACCATGGATAGCCTTGAATGTAAATAACAAAATCTTAAAATGAATGCGCTGCTTTAACGGAAGGCAATGTAGCTCATACGTCGGTGCAGTGGTGTAATATGGCTGAAGCGCGGAGCGCAGCAAACAAGCCTCGCTGCAGCGTGTAAAACACGCTGAACCTTGTTAAGCTGCGAGGCAGGTAGACCATACAAAAGGCTATTGCAGGGAACGAATGCATGCAGCAAGGACTTAGTTTCCACGGGGCGTAGGAACTTGCGAATACGACTGATGTTATGTAGATGAAAGAAAGCTAAACTACAGAGCTTGCTAATATGGGTAGACTTACTAAGTTGAGAATCAAACCAGGAATCTAGATTCCTGACAACCGGCTTTGTGTTCACAACAGACTCTCCAACTATTAATGTCAACCTTAGCTAGCTGTTGCTAGGTACCAAGGAGCAAAAACTCAGCCTTATCATCATTAAACATAAGTCGGTCTCTAATCATCTTTCTTAAATCCATGATGCCGACTGTAGCTCAAGGTGCATACCATTGATACAGATCGTCATATGATCGATCAATTGATCAGCAGCTGCTCTTTCAGATAACTTGGAGACACACGGGAGATTGCTTACTAGGCGAACGTTTTTGTACGCGATGTCTAGACCACACTTCTTTAACGTGGGTAATACGAGGGGCTACCTCCATTCCTCTGCAAACAGACCAGTTTCAAACGACATGTTGATCATACAGGTGATTACCGGTAACGGCTTATCAAGAACCTGTAGAACCACAGATGTAAGTGCAGGATCTAAAGGACAAGATTTCATGGCTGCGTTTCCAATAATCAAAGAAACTTGGCCTTGTGTCAAGGTCTTGAAGTTTGGGAACTCTGCACATTCGCACGGATCAGGATCAACACAGTTTGCGCATGCGCCCATGTTATCTGCGGACGCATCGTCATCGCCGTCAAGAGACTCAGATGACTGAAGGGCGTCCAGTGAGTCATTGATACGTTCCATCTTCTGTACAAAATAGTTGCCAAAATTATAAGCCAGATTATCGGGAGGTATGTGATCTGGCATGGAAACGAGACATCAGTCGGCTCAAATAGCAATGAACTGGTTGTTAGAAACAACTTTCTCTGGTTCGAGCTGGTCTTAACGATAACATTAGAGAAGTAATCACGACGTGCACTGTTCATGAGATATGTGGTGTGATGATTAGGTGCAACCTTGAAAGCGCGAAAGTCCTGCTGGGAATTAGTATTACGCCACTCTCTATTTTGTCCGCTGCAGCCTTTGCATGTTTGCATGACTCATAGTTCATTTCTTTTGTGAGTGGGTTAGAGGACTGTTTCGAGTGCACATATTCACCAGTGAATTAAAACACGAGAAAATATATAAATATCATAATTAGCGTGGACGGTGAGCAGAGTCGGTGATCTCTTCTTCTAGGTGTTTTTTGACAGAAAATTAAAATGGAATCCAATCACAATTGCAGTTTTCAAGATAGTTTTAACTAAAAAAGCCCAATTTTTTTAATATCTATTTTTGCGCTCACTTTTTCTTAGGTACTTCAGTTAGTGGCCGGATCGTAAGAAGTCGGGAGACGCATTTCGCGACAGCGGAAACTTTCTTTGAATCAACGCCGATCTATCAAAATTAACACGTTGCTTGAAGGCTTGTAGGAACTTGCAGTAAAAAAAGTTATCACCTTTAATTCAATAATGATCTATACAAATTCTTTTGTCTTATTTCTAAAACCGTCTCGAAGCCTCGTATGACTTTTGATATATCTACATTGGACTATAGGATTGTTTTTCTCATGACTCAGAGCTCGATTTGTGGGTACGTCTTCCACCATTCAAGTGACACTACTTTTAGTCACTTCTCACTGGAGAGTAAGGAGCGGTTGACGCTTGGTGCTGGAGCATTAGTGCCTAGGTTCAGGCATACAAGGGTGTTGTATTTACACCACGGGTCCTGAAATGATACTTTGTGTTCAGTGGAACCAGGCTTGGTTTTAAGGAAAAAGGGCGAGCAAGAAGTGATTGGTGAACCAAGAAGAGGACTTAAGGGCAGCGCAGCCTGGAGACGTTCCTTCGATGCCGCCGATCTACCCTCCGCCAATAAACCTGCAACAATCCAATTAAGTTGGCCTATACAAACGTTTCGCTGCTTGAATGTACTCCCCAGGGGGAGGGTTCTTGTTTGTGCGCGGAGATGATGCCGCGCGAAATGCAGCGAGAACGTTACCGCCTCTCCCCTCCCCTGCCCCTATCCCTCCCTGCCTCGTACCCAGACTTCTCTCTTTCGATGAAAATGTTCGTGCAAAGGAAGGCGGGAAGGAGACAACGGGTAAGGCGCTTCGCCTGCCGCCATATACTCTTCTCAAGGTCCCTTGCGGTTCATCACCAGTCACTCGCGTTTCGCGCTCGCCTCTGCCATGAGAAAAACGAAGCGCCTGAGGAGGCGGCTGTATCCCACCGATTTTTGCCTCCGTTGTTCGCCTTTTTTCAACTAGGCGCCTTGTTCCCATCAATCGTGTACCGCGCAAAATAATACAACCACTTCGTAAGTTCGACTTCTAAAAACTTCAATAATTTATCGCACAAGTTTAGAAAAGTATACATCTGATCACAAAACGGTGTGATTCGCACTAATAATTGCATTCATTTCATTGTTAACCAAGCTTAACAAAACCTAGCCTGGGAACAGGCTCCGCATTGGAGGATAAAGAAGGAAAAAACTCGCGAGCGAAGCGATCCGAGCGGTAGTGTGGGGAGGGGAAAGGGGGGCCGCCCTTTCCCCCTCCCAGCCCACTGCTCGCCGATTCAATTGCTGTTTCACCCCACTGCGGAGCCTGGTACCAGGCTAGACAAAACCTTCATTTATAGAACAAGGAATGCTCCCGATTTACAAGTGAGCAACCAGTCGACTTCAACAGTCTCTATGGCTGGACTTAACAGAAGAACAGAGTCTACGTAAAGGTTTCTAGAATAAATAATCCCGTGCGGGAGTTTTAGCTGCTTTAGCCAATTTCACTGAATAAAAAGGAAATAAAAACAGAGAGACAATGCTGAAGGATATAGGTAATGTTAGTTATTAACACATTCCTATTTAATTGCTCACTGATGACTATCCTTGGCGGATGTTTGGCCAATACCGGCATCTCACAATCTCTGTGACTCATTCTTCGTTCTCGGCTTATTTTCATATCATAATGCGCAATTTCTTTTCAGCCTTTTTAATGTCCGCTTTAAGCTTCCGGACTAGTTTTTTCAAATTAGCGTTTTCTTTCTCCAGCGCAACGGACTTTTTAGCGACTTGTATTTCTCGCGCGCGTTTTGCCTCACGAGATCGCTTGGCCGCTAAATTGTTTCTTTGGCGCCTCTCCCAGTATTTAGCGTCTTTGCCTTTGCCTTTGCCTTTCCCTTTCTCGGCAGAGTTTGAGTTAGTTTTGCGGGATTTCTTCGCCGGGCATGGAGCTGTGTAGTCTTCATCATCATCTGACACCTCATCGCTTTCCTCGTCAGCCTTGAACTCATCCTCCGAATCGTTCAGATCCGTAGATTTACAATAATCGTGATCAATATTTAACTGCGCTCTCTTTCGCCTCGTTCTAAGTTCGCGTTTAACAATGTTCTGCTCGATTTCTTCAGGAGTTCCTGTCGGAGTAGTCCCTACTTCGGCGACAGTTGAAGAAATGTTTGAGCAAGTGACAGAATTTGTTACATCAGCTAGTATCTCCGAGGAGACAATATCTCCCTGAGAAGGCTTTTCAATAGCTTTAAAAATATCCCTTGGGTCTACCGTTGGGCCAAACAGTTCGTCTATTACTCCAAAATCGAGCGAGTCCAAGAAACTCGAACTGCTGTTGACAATACAAGATGGTGTTCCGGGGACAGGCTGCCACAGTTCATCGTTAACGTCGTCATCGGTTTTAATTTTAATATGAGTGAGCAACTTGTTCGGAAGATCGCCATCGAAGAGGCTCAAGTTCAGACTATCACACAAAGAAGAGCTCAAATCAAATATATCTGAAAGAGATTCGTTGTCTTCTGTCGTCGTGGGGGTCGAAGGACAGGAACTTAGACCGCTATCGTCTCCTTGTTGAAAACGGAAACATTCCTCATCTGTGGGGAAGAGAATCAGTGTTAGCATGAATTACTGAATAAGGCTAAGTATTCTACCATTTGGTTAGTCCGAGCGCTTTGCAGTGCTACGTTCGGTAACCTTCGGAAATCATTGGAACATCTTCGGTAATGTTCGGGAGTTGTCGGAACAAATTTTAATTTGGAAATTGAGGTAAATACTCTATAGAAGCAGGAAAGGTGTATGAGGACTCCGTGAAGCTCCTCGACTAATCAAGTGCCAAAGAAAAGTAACTCTTTTGGCCTCGGTTTAGCATCCAGTACTGAGGCCACAGTGCCAGATCTACAAGGAGGGAAGGACCCCTTGAATGCATCTGTCAGTATACACAATTTCCTAGTATTCCAATGATGTTTTGCTTTGAGACTGAAATTGTTACTACCAAAAGCAGGGCTGCAGCCAGAACAAGACGAGGCAAGATTCAAGCACCGAAGGCACAAGCCTCTCAGGGGGTCTGGGGGCATGCCCCCCCCCTTAAAATCTTGAAATCTAGCGGCTCAGAATTTCTCTTGTAAGCATTTTCCGTGGCATTTTTCTTCAGAAAAGTCAATCTTGGGCAAGTGTAGAAGTTCACTTTTTTATTGCCTGGTGATACTGGTGCCAAGTAAATGACCATCTGCATTCTAACGCATTTGAAAAACTGTTACTCACAGTCCACATGAAACGAATTGACCTCATTAAAATGCTTTTCCCCGCAATTCATCCACCTTATATTTCCTGGTTTTATCTTAACCAATCCACTTATTTCTAGGGATTATTTTCTCAATTAAAAGTTTCTCCAAAAAAAAAAGAAGGCCAAAACCAAGATGAGGTAACTGCCTCGTCTTGCATCATGCTAACTACGGCCCTGAAAAGGCATGTAGAAAAATGCATACTTGATTTTGTAAGAATAAAATTTATAGCAACAAAGAAGTCTAGACATACGAACAATGTCACTTAATTTGACCCCTCTATTAGAAATCATGGCTTCAGCACTGTGCCAGCAGATATGCATCAAAACATCTGGTTCTACTTAATCCGATTATAAGGGCTTATCCTCTTCAGACTGTTGCCCTATGGGTAGTTCTTATGGTACCACTGAGCGTGTAGTAAATGATACATGAGCAGCAGAGATATGGAATTAATCTTCAAGTGCCAAACCAATATTTCAGAAGTTGAAGCAGTGAAGGATTGCACCTGGATTTCTACTTCAATACAAAAATATTGTCTAATCTATGTCTTCAACGTTCACGTATAATAATTCTGTTTGTTCTTGACATGTGAACAAACACTAAGTAATTTGCATTAACAAATTATTTCAAAAACTAAAATAAAAATAAAAACCAGTCAAGCCATGTTAGTCACATTCTCTCTTCACAAAATTGTATGAACACAAAGGTAGTCCAAAGTTAGCGTAAAAACAAAAGAAGTTCACTGATTGGCTGATAGGATGCTCAAATTGTCACATGAACAATATTTACTATCTTTTGTCAACGTGTGTTTCAAAATGGTAATTCTCAGTGGCTCACATCGCTTTAGTCTAAATCATGACATTTGTTTATCATCAAACATTTACAGTGTAACTTCTTGACTTCTCTGAGCACTATATTTGAGGACTCAAAGATATCCTTAAGGAGAAATAAAATTCTGATCACAATCTCATCCAGTGGCAACCAACAACCAATGCCCCCCCCAAAAAAAGGCCAATTTTTCGAATTGGTTTGAATTCTAATACAATCGCATATTAGCATATCCCCTCCGTTCCTTTCTAAAATTTCGTCTCCTTTCCCCTCCCCTGTACAGTATCAGTACTCGTGACTGCCACTACGAGTTCTAAGTCAATATAAGAAGGAATGGAAGAATTAACACACCTAAAACTAAAAATAATGCTAGAATTTTCATGGATCTTACATGTAAAGCACTGGTAAGGTAGTCCATTCGAAGAAAATAAATTTTAATTATTTGTTATTAAGACTATACAAGCGCGACCCTCCCCTTGCCGTTTATAAGGAACTGTTGCAGTACTGGTGTAAAGCTTGTGCTTTTAATAATTTTAACTGGCTGCCTTCTAACATTTTTTATATTTTACTTTATGCTGTTAAGAATGCTTTGTGATGTCAATTATGACTGATAACTAAAGCAATTTACTATGGTTTAAATTACAACGAGCACGTTGTAAATTTCAAAGCGCCCTCTCGCTCTTAACCGGGTTAACCGTTACATCGCCGGTAAAAATGCTAGCATCACACAAATAACAACTTTCTTACCATGAAAGCTCTCTGGGCTTGCTGCAGTGAGCAACTCCATAGCAATATGTTCTATCAGATTCGTAGATAAACAACTTGAGAACTTGAAACATAGACTGCCGATCACGGACTGAGTCTTTGGGTCAATGCCTAGTTTATTTACTCCATGTACATCCGGCAAAATACACGTGCGTGTGTATGCCGTGACAGGTGAATTACAAATTAGATTGCACTCATTACCATTAGAGCATTACGTAACGCGAAATGTGATTGGATGTTTCCGGAGACCTCACACTTGAGCTCACGCGCGATAAAATTTGTGGTCCAGAAAGTCCACGTTTACCTTAGGTTACGAAACAAGAACAGGTAAAGAGCGCGTGCGTCGAACTGGTGATTCGACGGGGAGCGTAGGTGAGTTTGCACGTGAGCTGACCACCGGTTTGAAATATTTCTGAAGAAAATCAGATGAAATGTCGAAAGAAGGTATTGAAATGATTAAGGTAATATTTTCTGTCATTTTTGAAGCGACTTTAAAAAATTTAGAGTTGTTTTAAAATTTTGTCCCATCATTGCCGCGTGTCGGGTCTCGTGTACAGCTTGAAAAACACGCAATTACCGGATAATGGTAGCTGAAGATTTCGTTCTCAGGGTCTCGCGATCTTTTGGCAGGATGCAATTTTTACCCTGGGAACAAAGTAAAGACTGTGTTTGCTAAAAAAAGAAACGTTACGGAACGAATTTGCTTACACTCAACATGAGACAGGGATTTAATATTAGAAAGGTTAATAGGCTTGGATAAATTCTGCCGGCAGAATTAAGAGTTGAATGAGCGACTCTTGAGGCGAGCATTCTGCCGGCAGAAAAAGGCATTTTCGAGCAGAATTTGAGCAGAACAAGGGAAAATCAGCGGTACTAATGATATGCATAACAACTGTGAGAAAATTTACAACTAAATAAAAAACAAATGGAAAATACTCTGTGATTAATTTGATTATTCAGATAGCTATAACGCACTCACATTAAACAGGGTCGGCCGGGGGTGGGGGGGAGGGGGGGTTAGTGGTATACAAATGTACCCGAAAAAAATTCGCCAAAATACCCAAAAATACCCAAAATTCATCCAAATATAACCAAAATTATACCCAGGTATACTCTATACCTGAAATTCAAAGAAAGTGATATACCGAATACCCGTATTTAAGCTGCAATGTACCGTATACCCCATTTAAGCCCCTGTATACCGTATACCCAAAACCCCTGGCCGACCCTGATTAAAAGTTTGCCTGAATTTTAGACGATAATTTCGACTCGTTTTTACTCCCTCAGTAACGTGTTGCTGAGAGGAGAAAACGACTAATTAGCATAGGTTTTTAACCTAAGCTAGGAGGCTTCTTTAGACACCTTAATAAAGTTTCATCATCATCATCATCGAAGTAATCGTCTAAATGAATTGCAATTTTGCTACGTATAATGAATACTTAATTAGTTTATGGGGCAAGTTTGGGCGTTTGGCCCAGGCTCCGGCTTCTCTCTACAGCCAAAGGGGCGGAAATTTTTTCTGGTACCGTGCAGACTCCCAAAAAAAGAAGGGTGTCCGAGCAGAATTTTGACAAGAGAGCGATTTTTACTAGCACTGCTGGCAGGTAGAATAAGCCATTTTACGAGCAGAATTTATCCAAGTCTAGAGGTTAAGCCAGTCACGTTCGGTCAAACGGCAAACGCGAATTTGTACCTACTGTTCATTATTTCTTGTTTCACGCAATTTTTTATCCATAGGAATTGTTTTGAGCTGTTTTTATCTGCTCATTTTCTATTTGAGAAATTCTCATCCTGAATCTGAAGAGACTGGGTCGGGCAAGATGTCTGTGTAGATGAATGTGTAGATGTTAAGTGTAGATGTGTTTTTGTGGAGCGAAATTTAACTTGTGTAAATTGGAATTGACATGCCGGCACGGAGAACTGGGTTCTAGTGTAGTGACCATTTAGTTATGCGTGTCATTCTACGGTCGGCCTCGCCGCGTCAACTTGCTTTGTTTAGTTTAGCATGGGCTTGGCTGACCGACACGGCCATGCCTCCAAGTGTTGTCTTGTGTGTTCGGTTGCGTAGTGGAGGGAAAATACCAGAGTCTTAGAACCTGTTTACATGGAGTGGGGGACCCCGGAGTAGTGGGGTAAGTTTCTTTTGTTTTGTGTCCTCCAGAGCGTGAAAACAAAAGAAACCAACCCCACTAGACCGGGGTCCCCCACTCCATGTAAACAGGCCCTTAGTAATAAGATCAAAGATTGCAAGTTACCAGTCAAAGGTGGCACAATTAACAGGTTTGGCTGACCGCTCTTTTATTTTTGTTTCGCTAGCTGCAATCCACTATGTTCATTACCGTTTTCAAAGATGCATTACAACGCCTTCGAAACCTAAAGTAGAATTAAAGTACAAATATCACCACGAGAGCGCATAAATAAAATAATATAACGAATGTCAGATCAATGTTCCTCGATAAGTACCCGGTAGCATTTGTGTCCTGCAGCCGCGAATGTTCGATCTATTGAGTCCTTTCAAATTCACTCTTGTAATCCACTCTCCACTCTTTTCCACGACTAATCTACTGTTGCAAGTTACAACTCATGTCTTTGAATCAATTACAATTTCGCTTTACTGAAAGGTACGATTTATGAATACTAAATATCAAGGGCTTCAACGAGCACGTGCATATGGAATGCCACGAACTTTCGCACGTATCAGCGAAACACTCCCCCCACAAAACCGTTTGGGGAAGTTTATGTCGTCGCCGTTATACTTGCTCTCTTGTCTGCGCTCGGACAACTGACATTCCTTCTTACTGCTCAGCGGAGATTCCCTCGGTGTCGTCCACTGGAACTAACACGATTAATCTGTGCACAGCTCTCTGCACGGTGACGTAGCCCCTGCCTTCGTACTTGTCGACGGGTTCACCTGGTCTGGGGTTTTTGTATTCCACGTCCACTTTCCTTACTCTGGCATCATCTCCAGGGTAAACCTTGGACACTTTACCGAGCTTCCAGTTACCTCGCACCTGATTTGAATCTTGTATCAGCACTACATCACCTACCCTCACGTTGCGCTTCTTTGTATGCCACTTCTGCTGCACAATCAGACTTGGGAAGAAATCTCTAATCCACTTTCTCCAGAAAGCGTCTACAATCTGCTGAACGAACTCAAAGCGGTGATTTGGGTTTCTCGTCTCTCTAAAGGGACCACTAGGAACCCTAGAGGTGGATCGGCCTAAAAGGAGATCGTTAGGGCACAGGTAAGTCCCATCTTCAGGTGACGTCGGATGCCTACCGATTGGCCTTTCGTTAACTAGGTTTGCTGCCTCATAGCAGACTGTTTGCAACTCTGAGAAGGTCATCACACTCTCACCGACCGCTACCGTAATTGCCTTCTTCACAGACTTCACAAGAGCCTCTGAGGCCCCGTTCTGCCAAGGCGCGTCGGCCGGAACAAATTTCCATTCCATTCCTTTCGTGGCTCCGAACGCGGCCAGCTCATCCCAGTCCCAAGATGCCACAACTTTCTTGAGCTCCTCGTTTGCCGCTGTTAACTGAGTACCATTATCTGAAATCATTTTTGCTGGGTAACCTCTCAGTGACACAAATCGCCTTAAGACCATCAAGAATTTCTCAGTGCTGTAATTAGGCGCCAAATCTACATGGACTGCTCGCGTGCTAAGGCAGTTGAAGATGACGCCATATGCTTTGCCTGTGGTTCGCTTCTGGACTTCACCTCTAATCCTGAAGGGGCCAAATAAATCAACTGCCGTACAATTCCACGCAGGTGCTGGCTTAAGCCTTTCCTGGGGGAGCCGTCCCATCAGTTGCGTCGTAGTCTTCTTGTCCAGCTTCTTGCAAGTTACACAGTTGTATCTAATTGACTTTACTATCCTAGGCAGCCCGATGACCCAGAACTTTGATCTCACTTTGCTTGTCGTAGCAGATACTCCCTGATGGCCTTCTTCGTGTATATGTTTCGCGTACAAGCGGGATAACTCATGCCTAAACGGTAGAAGTGGAACTTCGCGCTGATTGTAGCTCATCTCCAGCCATTTCTCTGCACGTCCTCCTACCACAATTATCCCATCCTCTCGAACTCTTGGACACAGGCGTCTGAATCGTCCACGTTTCATGTCACTTAACATTGTTTCTTGGGCTTGGAGAATCCAGAATCGCTCCGCTTTAGTAACATCCACCGGCCCAAGGACTCTGGCAGCATTTCTGAAGCTCGGCTTATAATCGGTTCGGAACATGGCAAGCACTCTAGCCGTCACTCTAACCAGCCTCGTATAATCCGAATATCTACTTATGTCAATCCTGACTGCTAGGGAGTCTTTAGGCTTGGTGTTGGCTATCATTACGACCCTAGGTTCCTGTGGAAGCTCTTGTATGGCACAGATCCTACTAATAGGCCACTCAGACTCTGGCAACTTCAAGAAATCTGGACCCTTCTGCCACGCGCTGTTTAAGTCGATTTCGTTTGGCTCCTTACCTCGAGTGATCCAGTCGGCTATGTTCTGCTCGCTAACTACCCAGCACCAGTCTTTGGGATTAGTACCGCTTTGAATCTCTCCAATGCGTGTTGCAGCAAACGTGTTGTACCCATATGATTCCTTTTGGACCATGGCGTGTACTATCTGTGAGTCAACAATGTGCAAGCACGTGGTAAATCGATATCTCGACTCTCTCTCCAGGAGCTCTTTAAGACGCTTGCTCAGCACGGCTCCGCACAGCTCAATCCGGTCAATGGACATTGCCTTAACTGGCGCGAGTCGGTTCTTAGAGATGGCTAATCTGCTTTCAAACCCTCCACCGTTCAGTGCCCAACGGACGTACGCACACGCACCATAAGCACTATTTGATCCGTCACTGAAGATCACCAGCATTGGGTCACCAACCGCATTTGTGGGCTTAAGGCATCTACCGAACTTGATGTTGTTCATGATAAATAAATCTGAAAAGAATGTATTCCACTCTGCTCTGCATTCGTCTGACACTGGATCGTCCCAGTCAAGCCGCTCCGCTTCACTCATC